TATTTGGTTTAAGGAATAATTTTGGACGAGCAAAAAACGAGCAAAAAGTCTATAACAATTGCGAGAGCACCGAAATGAGTCCATATGCCAAAAAAAAGTATTATTTAACAAGTCGAAGGCGGAGCTCAGATTAATATCTTAATTTTGAAGAAGCCACCAAAGGGCGTACATAAAAATGAGTGAGGCATAAATTATATGCTTCGAAACTGTTTGGTATTAAAAAAGCAGTAAAATTGAAGTTGTTTTTCTACATACAATGTACAATGTACATTTTAATCAAACAAATACAAAAGTCTTAAGTGCATATTCATGCCATTTAAGTGATTTTTCAGTGAGTTTAGTGAGTTTCACTTCAACATTTTAGTTGAGATTTTTAAAAATATTTGCTTTGAAAATGCATGAAAATCACATACCCAAAATTTACAATCAATTTTGAACTTGGCGGTTGGTTTTTGGATTCGTTGGCCATTTTTGTGTTATTTTAAATTTAATTTATTGCCTTGCATTTTAACCTTAAACCCGACAGACTCGCATCACGGCTAAGCGTCAAAATGATGGCTTCAGACAGCAAATCGCATTCAACTGGAAATGACTGCACTTTTTGGTTTGTGAAGATTGTGAAGTTATGCAAAAAAGTTGACCATCACCTGCTGAACTGTTTTAATTTTGTTTAAATTAAAACATATTATTTGCGAATGCTTGGAAAAATTTAAATTGAATGTTTGCATGAACGTTCTGGAATTTAAAGCAGAATCCGTGATTTTTTTGTTTGAAAGGAAAGTCGTAGGAAAAAGGAAAGTCACACCCTCAATACAGTAGTGTTATCTAACAGAGTTAATACTAGTCTAGACTACAACCACTGGTGTATTATGGCTGAGTTTAACATATTTGTCCATGCTCACTAACATTATGCGAAAATTTTTGAAATATATGTATGGTACGCAGGGGTAGCCTCATAAACCCCTGAAAGCATTTTATGTTTGCTTTATAAAGAGATTGTAACATCAACAACTCGCACACCATTCATCAGCTACATTACTAGTCCCACAGCATTTATACAACGTTTCATTAAATCAATAGAAGTAAATCGGAAGTATGTAAAATAATATTGGTCCCAATGTAACACTGAACTATAGAACAGCATGAAGCCAGGGTTGCCCGGTTCTGTTGAAACGCTTGGAAGCAAGTTTATTGGTGCTCGAGGAAAAGACATCGGAACACTTGTTGTGTGTATGTCCAGGTTTGTTCTGAACCAGGCTTACGTTTTTTGTCTCCCATTCTTTAATACACTAATCGATGTTTCCAGAAACTGATATTTATCAATTAGTCCGGATGGTGCTAATATACTCAACTTTCAATTCACAATTACAAGAAATGTGGTATAAAAACAGTTTTCTTAGCTTATTGTGAAATATTCCATCCATCTTCCACTTCACCAATCTATGTACTCCTACATCATATGATGTTTGAATAATTTTGAGTGGACGACTGTATTTCAGTGACACACCAAACGCTCGAGCGTAATCAGCTTTGAACATCAAAATACTTGAAGCTTTTGACTGCTAAAACTATATTCAAAACTCTACTTCATACTTGTTCTAAAAGGAGTTGCATGTTGTACATGCATTTCGATAATAATTCGGCAAACGAAGTAGAAAGAAAAGATTAAGCTGATGAAAATCAACGGCTTTAAAGAAGAATCAAAATTTTCATATAAGCCGTAATTAATAAAAGAAAAAATAACGTAGACTTGCAACAAAGTTCCTTCAGAATTCCCTGTTTTGCTGTATTATTATCTCATTTCTGGTTCGGCTTATTCTAAATTTTATTTTCAAAATCTTGCCATATGTTCCTTTAGAAGTCAAGATTAGGTAATGCTACCCAATTTAACATTTTTTTTGGAACTAATGAATCAGGTAGTTACTGCAAAGTTTAAAGCTTCTATCAAAGTATATATGTGATGAATGGTAAAGTTACTTTGTAGAATATAGAAAAGAACTGCATCAAAAAATATTAAATCGGCTATTAAATCGGAAAAAGGTTCAATGGAATACTCAAATAGGGTGTATTGTAAATTCTGTTAGCATTCTTGAAATGCAAAAACATCGAGAGAATTTCATGGCAGATATTAACAGATTTGATAAAGACGAGGCAGAATGTTAGTAAGATTCCACTTAGATAAACACGTGGAAAAATTTTAAGGATTATTAAGAATATAATAAGGTTAAGGTAAGAATAGTTCAATGGCTGATGTTTTTGAGTTCGACAACGATTAGGTGTGAGGTACAAATGTAAAAATAACCATCATCGCATCCATTAACTGATATTCAGAAATTCTTAACGAAAAAACAAAACTGCTGCTAAAAGAAAGCTACTGATTTCTTTTAGAAATCTTATGATAAAAGTTTTTTTTACTAAATTTTATCATTTTATCTTGCATTAATCAATAAAAATCATTTGCTTATCTTTAAATTACGTAGAACTTAAACCCCTATTGCATTGAAAATATGGGTCCATTTTATTCTAATTTATTTGCGTTCAGTTTTGTAGGAGTTAAACGGTTTGTTCTCTTATCTTAATTAATTATCTCGGATGCAAAGTCGTGGATAATTGTAAAATATTTGTTGATGCATAAAAATGTTGTTGCTAGCCAGCACTAATGTGCATTTCTCTAACACTAAAACCATGTTTTACTATATAACTAGGTTATAATATACATATGTTGTCGAAAGATAATGATTAATATAGATTACGTAACTATTTGGTGGTACATTTCACGCACTTTTGCCGTTTCTGCAATATGTAGAGACTTGTTAAGTCTATAATGTAGAGCTCATTACAACAATTGAATAGGAGCATGTCTGATTAAGGACCTGATTTATAATACATACATCTGTCGATTTGTCAAAGTTTATTGGTAAAAAGTGATATTTATACACAATTTTAAGTAACGTAGAGCCCAAAAAAAAACTGAAAACATTATAAAAAACTTACATATTTTAAAGGACTCATGCAAAATTCTCAATGCAAATGAATTAAGTTTTTTCTGGAACCTTTATGAAACATAACGCTGCCATATGTCCCTTGTTGTCCGACAGACGGCTGTATCCATTTCGTATATATTTTAATAAATTGTTTTTTTGAAACTAAATATAAAATTAACATGTATTTGCATTTACAAAGAAAGGATTAACTTACTAACTATTAGCATTGTTGATATATCAGTAAATAGTTGTATTAAGTAGTTGAAGCATATATTTGATATGATATATTAACTGAATTATAATTAATCTTAAATTATATAGAATTGTAATAAATAGTTCAAAAAAATTAGTTTAGGTCATTTTTAATCTTTGAAGAATATAACCAGTTTTTTATACATTAAAGTACATGCAATCGAAGTTGAGTTGTCAGAAACCATATTTTTAGGTAGCATTTGATTGACTGTCCCTAAAAGCATTTAAAATTTTGAAATCCAATTTTTAATACCGGGAATCATATCAAAAAACGTACGTTAAAACAAAATTAAAATAAAAGTAAAGCAATAATTTAAATTATAAAAATGGATTTGGTGCGAATTTTGATGGTTGCGCTGTCAGTTGTAATAAAAATGTATCAAAAATTTTAACGCCGTCTTAAGACAACTTAAAAGCAAAT